AATTTACGATTTTCTGCTGAATTATTAAAAAGTAAGAAGTTTTCCTTGTAAATAATCAAATGTGCAATCAAAATTTTAAGAATTTTTTTACCGAGAGTTTTTTTTATGTCATACATGTGTCATGTCATGTCATGTGCATCTTGTCAAATGTCTATCCAAATAATAGTCGCAAATGTCATAAGTCTTTCATCCATACATAAAAAATTTTGAAGACATTTTTTTGTTGTTGGAATTTTCATTTTTTAATTTAATATTTAAAAGTGTTTTTTTTTAATGTGTTTTTTTACTGAATTAATGAAAATAAGAAATTTTCTTTGTCAATAAACAAATTTACATTCCATACAACAAGATAATCATAATTTTGAAGATAAATTTTATATTTCAGGAGTGTTTTTTATGTCATATAAGCGTCATATCTGTAAAATATCAAAAAAATTTAAATGTTTTTTTTTTTGATTTTATATATTAAGGTGTTTTTTGTTTAATTTTTCACTAACGTTCATTTTTTTAAAATTTATTGTTATTAGTTTTTTTTATTTATGTTATGTCATATGTCGCGTCTTTCAAATAATTTCTGTTTTTTTGCAAATTTAATTATTTGTTAGACATTTGACAGATGCTACAGTTTTATGGATGATTTATATGAGAAGTAAAACAATTTGAATACATGACATTTGCAAAATGCAACATATGATGTACATATAAAATGAAAAAAAAACTTCCGTAAAATAAAAATTCCTTTGCATTTAATTAAAAGAAAGTCATATCTTACTTCAAGTAAAAAACTTGAAATAAAACACCTGTATATATTAAAATTAAAAAATAAAATTCCAACAAAAAATGCCTTTAAAATTATGTTTTTCTTTTGTTATGGAAATCTTAATATAAAAACTATTTTTTTTTGTGAATTTCATTGTTTCTTAGACAAAAAACAGATTTGGCTTATTATATTTGGAACGCCAATTAAATTTACAATACTTTCTCAATTTGTTTTGTAAATTAAATAATTTCTTAATTATTTGACAAATGCAAGTAATGACATGTGCGTCAATTTTATGAATGAGATGAGATAGTTGAGATGTAACTCATGAAGCATATGAAATATGACATAAAAAACACCCTCTTGAACAAAAAGTCTTTAAATTATGATTTTTTTATGTATGAAATGCAAATTCGATTATTTATAAGGATCTTTTCTTAATTCTATAAAAAAAATTGTCTTTCTATATGTGTAAAACTTGATACCTTCAAAATTTCGGCAAAATTTTGGTTTTCTTTATTTTTGGAACGCAGATTTATTTAAAAATGATTTAGGATTTTTTGTAATTTTCAAATTTTCTTTGATTTTTCACAGATGTGACACTTATATGACATAAAAAATACTTCCGAAAAATAAAATTTACCTTTGAAATCATGATTATCTTTGTGTATGGAATGCAAATTTGTTTATTGTCATGGAAAATTTCTTATTCTTCATTAATTCAGTAAAAATTGTATCTTTTCGAAAATATTAAATTAAAAATCAAAAATTCCAAAAAAAAATTTCTTCAAAATTATGTTTTTATGTATAGAATGCAAGACTTATGACATTTGCGACTAGTATTTGGATGAGACATTTGACAAGTAAAACAATTTAAAGATGTGACATTTGATCGATGCAACATATGACACATTTATGACATAAAAAAAAACTCCTGTTAAAAATAATTCTGAAAACTTTGATTACAGATTTGATTATTCACAAGAAAGAAATTATCAGAAAATCGTAAATTTCATCAAGTAAAAAACTTGATATATGAAAATTTAAAAAAAAGTTTGTGCAAAATTTTTATTTTTATGTCATATGTCTTATGTCGCTTCTGTCAAATGTCATATCTGTAAATTGTTTTAATTGAATTGAATTAATTGAATACTACCTTAATATTTTGAATAAGATACCCCTTTTGTTTATTAAGCACACCGCGTTTAAATATTAAATATGGTACCCTTTTTGTTTATTGCACAATTAACCTTTAAAAAATAAATATGATGTTGTATGGTAATATTCCTTCTATTTAATATTATAATAATATAATTATAATAATAATTATTATTATTATTAGTAGTAGTAGTAGTAGCATTATCATTTATAGATAAAGTACTCAAATGAAACTTAATAAATTATTCTTTAAAAGATTAAATCATACCTTTCTAGTGTTTGTCTTGCTCGAAAAATGATTATTTTAAAGTTTAAAATAAAATATTTCTATTAAGAAAGGACGTTTTCTTAGAAAAAGACTGATCAGTTTATTTATCTAATGTAAAAATAACAATTAATGTACATTTGTCAAATTTACAGTTTAATTTTTAAATACGCTCGGTCTATTTTAGATAAAAAGAAAAACACAACACAAAACATTTAAAATTGCTCTTTAAAAACATTCAAAACTAGAATTTTTCTTGGAACTTTTTTAAACTCATTTTTTAAAACAAGGCCCCTTGCCATTTAAAACAAAAAGCCCATGTTATGCTCCTATTTAAAATTTATGAATTATTAATGTGCAGATGTTCAAAACCTCATATTTCCTATCCTCCCACGCATCTAATATTATTATTAATTATGCATAATAAAGTGGTACGTACGGGCCATTCCTGTTACAGAAAACTTTTTTGAATTCAAAATCAAAGATTTAAATTTATATTTTATGGTCTTACCTTGGTTTAAGCTCTTTCCAAGAAGTATAAACTATATGGAGTTGTACCCATTGGACAATTTTCAAGTTTAACAGAATTGATAAGACCTTAAATTACATCAGTTTTATGCTAATGGTTGAGAAAAAAATGTAAACAGTAAACCGGATCTGCTTGTACAGGATACAGAAAGATGCCGCAATACACAAATGTCCGTTGTACATAAGTCACTATCTGATCTATACCTGATCTGATTTGAACCCTCATTACAAAGACGTCGGATTACATCCCCTGCCTTCCACTGACTGTCATAATCATTTAAATAACAATTGTCAAAACAGAAAAATAAAAATAAAAAAGTTAGATTCATTCGTGTCTTTATTGAGATAACTTTGAGTTTACAATCATTTTCATTTATTAATTTATTAACGAATTCAAGGGCTCTAAGAAACATGACAGTTGCAAGACAACTTGAATGTCGTTTTGATCTTAAAACAATTTACGGCATTTATTCATAAACCTAATTTTAAATATTCTAGAATTAATAGCCACAAAATATTTCCGGCATTTCCCAAATGTGTACTGTTTTTTATGCTTTCAATATTACCAGAGATATAAAGAATTGTGTTCATATTTCGACAATGTTGGTTTTATCTAATAAAATTGAAATTTAAACAAAATTCTCAATATCTTCGCTAATATTGACAACAACAAAAGGTAGGCCACATTGTGGAAATCCAGGACGAGGAGAATTTTCTGGACATTGTTTCAAAAACCATACAAATAAAAGAAGGTTTACGACTGAATGTCTCAATAAATTTTTAAATCGTCTTGCTTCTGTCAAGTTTCGTGGGACACACTGCGTTAGAATGAAAGAAAAGGGAAATGTTAATTTAAATTTTGGTTGTTCGAAAATTTTAGAAATATTGGAAATTTTCGATCAGTTAACCATCATCTAAGAAGTGCCGCAAATGGTTTGTTTTACAGGCTGGAATTTAGTGAAAGGAAAGGGAAATTTTAGTTTAAATTTTGGTGGCTTGGAAATTTTAGAAATTTTTGATTATATTATTTTTTATCAGTTAACCGTCATCTTAGAAGTGCCGTAAATGGTTCGTTTTACAGGCTGGAATTTAGTGCCAGGATAGGGAAATGTTAGTTGAAATTTTGGTGGCTTGGATAGTTTTGAAATTTTCGATCATATTATCTTTTATTAGTTAACCTTCATCTAAGAAGTGCCGATAATTATTCACAACGGTGTATTTGAAATTCTTTAAATTATGCTACAGGGTGTCCCACGAAACATGACAGTAAGCAACTTGAATATCGTCTTGATTTTTGATATAATTTGCTGCATTTATTTGTCAACCTAATTTTAGAAGTAAATTTCTAGAGATAATAATCACAAAATTCCCCTAGTCCTGCCATTTCCAAAATGTGGTCCGCATTTTTTGTGCTTTGAATATTGCCCGAGATATGAACAATTTCGTTCAGATTTCGAAAATTTTGCTTTTATTTAACAAAATTGAAATCTGAACCAAACTCTTTATATCTCCGGTAATATTGAAAGCACAAAAAACGCAGACCACTTTTTGGAAATGCCAGGGCTAGAAGAATTATGTGTTAATTGTTTCAAGAATCATACATATTAAAGTAGATAGAAGACTAAATGTCACAAATAAATTCAAATATCAAAGACGACTTTCAAGTCGTCTTGCTATTGTCATGTTTCGTGGGACACCCTGTATAATATATATATATATATTATATTTATATAAATATTAAAATATTATGTTTAAAAATATGTTTGCTATTAGCCAAATGGTTTGTTGGCATACGAGAAAAATAACCGGCCAGTTAAATTCTTGCATAAATTCTTAGCTGAAAAATTCCAGGGTTGTGAATTGTTTATGGCACTTTTTTTGCAAAATTCATTTGAAGTACGTTGACGATTTTTTCATAAAAAGAGTATTATGGACGGATATTTCTGAAAAAAATAATATAAAGAAATATTTCTGTAGTTATATAAGGAAATATTTCTGTAGTTATATAAGGAAATGTTTCTGTAGTTATATAAAGAAATATTTCTGTAAGTTTATATTATAGACGAATAATTCTGTAAGGTAGTATTATAAGAAATTAATAATATGGACGGATTTTTTCTGGAAGTTAATATTATGGACGGATATCTATGAAAATTAATATGTTGAGCGAATACTTCTGTAATTTAATGTAATGAACGGATATTTCATAAAATTAGTAATATTGACGGATATTTCTGCGAATTGATATTGATATTTTTTTTAGATTTTTCAACAGTAGGAAAGTTGAAATAGAGGCATCACATTTATTTATCTGAACAATTTAAATTTTAATGATTTTTGATGAATGGTTAAAGAACCGTGGTAAAAGGATGAATTACAGAAAAGTTAGTTGTGAATGCATGAAACGTGGATGACACATCAAGTGCAGGAATTATTTAAATTATATATTTATTTAACGCTTCTTGTTACTCTTGATGTCTTTGCATTTGGGAATATGTCGATCAGCTGCAGCTTCAGAAAACCTAAACAATTTTTTAAATTTTAAAAATTCCTGAACTTCTGTCTTACTTTAAAAAGTTATTTGAATTCTTTAATTTAATGAATCAAAATAGCCATGTTTTTAGGAATAAAAACGAAAATGAAAGTTTCTTTTAGGGCTATATAATCAAATAAAAGAGGTTTAATAAAAAAAACAATACAATTATGTCAATTTAATGTGTAAAGCCTTTACCTTCTATCGCAGTGTGGACACTTAATATAGTCGGATGTATCCATGGGAGGGGGAGGGGGCAAATCCTTCAATGAACCACCGGCAGCCAAGTGTTTTTGAGCCGCTTTAGCAGATCGTAGAGTTGCAATAAACTCCTCGCGTTTCTTCCGCCAATCACTCTTCTTCTGATCCTAAATATGTGTACATGGCAACGCAGATTGTGTACAATCTCAGTACGGCTGTATCTACGTCACAATTGTCAACTCAATTTCTGTGTCTGACAAATTATAAATAAAACTGATAGTCTTCAATGCAATTTTATGAGTTCTTACACCTTTTCTCTATCATTCTGACTAAATAAAGGAGTTGAAGCTGATGTTACAAATCACCATATAACATCGTAATTTGGAAAAATCACTTTAAAGCATATTTCAGAAATGTTTAATGGCATATTAGAGAAAATTTTCTGAAAAGATTTAAATGAGATTAAACCCCCATTTCCGGAGGAAATACAGGAAACAAGAAAAGGTAGTTCTCTAATGAAATTTCCTTTTTAAAGGGGATTTCATTTTTATCTCAAATGTAGTATTTAACAAATTTGGGAACACATAAAAATATTTAAAAACAGTGTTTGAACTATGAAATTAATGGAAAATCTATGTAAAGGGTTACCCACAAAGAATGAGAAATGTAAAGACGACCTGAAACTCTTAAAATATAACGACCCGAAAATTGAATAAAGTTTTTAAATATTTGATTTAAACAAAAACCAAAACGACTGATTTTTTTTGGGGAGGGGGGGGGGAATTTATAGGTATACTATGTATAACTGTGAATTCAACAATACAATATCAAGTATAAATGATATCTTTTTGTTTTCATTAAATATATTTTTTTATTTAGGGTCTAATTTTTCAGAAAAGTGGCTGGCCTTAGTAATTGAACATTGAACATGTAATTCGCCTAGAAACACTTACCCTAATGCCTTCTTTCTACGGAGGTTGGCCGGGCACCCCCCTCCCTCACGTTGGGGTATTTTAGGGGGCCATGGGGGGTGACTGTTTTGTCACAATCTCAGGATATATATAGTTTATATATTCTGAGGTCCCAATTCTCCTCTTGAAATGCATTTGTCTTGTTTTTCATGTTGAGAATGGAGAAAATGAATATATTCATTATAATTCATTTACAAACATTGTATGAAATGTAGCTAGTATTTATTATTTCAATTTATTTCGGCATATTTTAAAGCTGTTGGAAGTACAGTCATAACCAGAGAACCAGATTTTAAACTGTCCAATGATCATGCGGCACAGTCTGTTTACGCAGAGTAAACAGACCCATTTTACTTGATCAATGATTTAAGTACTTATAGTAAAGGATGAAGGACTAACATCGAATGCACTTCAATATATTTTTAATATCGTCTTCCTATTCCACAGTTTTCTGGTTATCACTGTCTATATTTTTTAAACACAAGAATAAACCATAGATATTACAAGGATTTGTTATATTATTGAGCACAGAGCGAACCCTTCAACAATTTAAAAATGCCGTTTTTTACTTCAAATCCTGAAAACAGCGCCTTTTTGAAAGATTTTTCGACAGGGCCGGGTGGTGGGGCTAGCCCTCCCCCGGTACCCCCCTCAGGACCCTCAAAACTTAATTTCGCCCCCCCACCCTCCTCACAAAGTGCTAGTTGCACCAATGGTTGTAATTTCAATTTCCTGTTTCCTTCAAACCTTTATCTGTTTTAATGATGGGGAACATGTTGACAAGTATTTAATTCTAATAATTTCTGTTAAAAATATCTTTAAATCATTGTACCCCAAGGTGGAATGATTTTAAGTATAACCTGTAGAAATAAGGCAAAAAATATACCAATTTATTCTGCACTAACAATCTAACTTTTTTAATATCATCTTATGAACATTTCTACAGTTTGGTGAATTTAGATGAATTTTTCTTTGAACATTTTAAATCTAGACAACCTTTCCTTCTTTCCAATCTACTTATTGATCTTTCCTCATGTTGGATTTTAAAATTTGTTTTTACCTTTTTTAATTTTTTTTTCGTTTACTTTTAAACAAAAAAAATATTTTAAAAAACTAACCTTACTATTGTTAGAAGGTTTTTGTGTACCCTGTTTCTTAACATAAGGAGCAGCATCTGTGCCCTGAACTCGTTTTTTAGTCATGTCAAACGGTTTCCGTTTCTTCTGGGTAGTTTTTGTGCAAATAGTTTCATGCTTCTCAATCCGATCCTCGGCAAAATTCCTGCCACAATTCTTGCACTGGGAGAGGTCGTCCCGCGGTTTGGGGGCAAACACAGATCGACGCTGTGGCATCTAAAAATGTAAATAAATAGCTCTGCCTCACACTACACTTTGTGAAGAAATCATAACATGTACCTCTAGGGATTCCAATCGCAATTCCGTTGCGCGTAAATGTGCGGAATTGCGCGCAACTGTTGATGGGCGGATTTTTGGTAATGTCAATTTGGTAATGACAATTTGATAATGACAATTTGGTAATGCGATTTGGTAATGACAATTTGGTAAGGACACAAAAGTGACAATTTGGAAATGACAATTTGATAATGATAATTTGGCAATGACATTTTGGTAACATCATAAAAGTGACAATCTGGTAATGACAATTGGGTAATGACAATTTGATAACAACATGAAAGTGACATTTTGGAAATGACAATTTGAAAATTTTAAAAACAAGGTGAAAATTTTGAGGAAAAAAAGTATACATATTTACAATTATTAGTAAATAATTGATTACATTATGTTGGGTTTGGTTAGGTAAAGTGACATTATGTAAAATGCGCCAAAAAAGTGGTAAAATTCGCAACATTTTCTAAAAACATTGTTTTAATCTCAGTCGGCCCCTTAGCCCATCCTTGTCGCAGCGATCGGCCCAAAAATTGTCTTAACCTAACCTAATCCAAAAAAATGACACTAAACAATGTGAGAAACAGCACATTATTCAACATTGAGGAGGCCGCCACGATCAGCCCCCTAGCCAATCCTAGCTGCAGCGCTGGACCCAGAAATTTTTTAACCCGCCCAACCCAAAATAATGAAAGAAACAGAACATTATTCAACATTTAAGAGGCCGCCGCGCTCCGCCCCCTGGACGCAGCGCTCGGCCCAGAAACTGTCTTTACCTAACCTAACCCAACATAATGTAATTATTCTTAAATTCCCAAGAACAGTCTATTGTGCTTTGTTGGATCATTGAAAAGATTTTTAATGTACTTAAAGAGGTTAACAAAAATTACTTACAACTAGCAACAAACTAACCCTATATCTTTGCAACCTGATTATCTGATATCGTAGACCTTATATATTGTCACCAAATGGTCACTTTATGTAGTTGTAAACCTGGTTGCCACTTTTCTGTAGTTACAAAATTGTCACTTTATGTAGTTCCAAATTGTCATTTTTATGAAGCAATCAAATTGTCATTACCAAATTGTCACTTTTTTGTAGTTACCAAATTGTCACTTTTATATCGTTAACAAATTGTCATTACCAAATTTTTACTTTTTTGTAGTTACCAAATTGTCACTTTTATGTTTTTACCAAATTTTCATTACGAAATTGTTGTTACCAAATTGTCACCTTACCAAGTTGGCATTACCAAATTCTCATTTATACCGAATTGTCCTTACCAAATTGACGTTACCAAAAATCCGCCCGTCCAACTGTTCTCGAATTGCGCGGAATTGCGAGAAAGTAAAATCCACTTGCATTAAAAACCCTAAGTAGCTCTAAGTTAGAATAAATTGCAAAGATATTCTCACATAAAATTTGACATTTAAAAATGTTTCATTTCATGTCAGAAAAAAAGAATAAAATAATTGTTCCAAATGAAAATGAACCTTAATTTTTTAAAAATTTAAATGTTATTGAGTTTCATAAAATTGAATAAACTTCAGAGTAAACCGAAGAAAAAGTTAGTAGATTTCCTGCATGACCCTCTCTTTCTCTGATACTTTAAACATCTGGACTGGATAGTTCGGTAAATTCAAAAACTATAAGAGCACTATTGAGGGAATTGAGGTTGTAATAGTTATTGACCTAGGATTGAATTCAACTGAGGTCGGATCAATTAGAAGAATTAGTGGATATCAGATGAGGCAAAATAAGTAAAATCCTCAAATATTTTCAATCATGGATATACTTAAGAAAACGTTAAATTTGCCGCGGATCACAAAAAATAAGAATTAAAGACAATTACAGTGAAATTTACCCTATTTACAACGGTGCTCTTAAAAGCGTTGTTTGCTCAAGATATGCACGTTTTTATTTCTTTAATAGTTAATTTGTATTTGCGGTTTCTCTGCGAAAGTGACTCGCGTATTTCTTGTTTGTAAGAAGCGATAGAAACATTATCATAATAAAACACTTTTCGAGTCATGAAAACTATATTATCTTTCACGCTATTGATCAGCTTAATGTTTCGAGGGTACCGTTTAACATCAGGCATTGCCAATCTGTGTATTAAGGGTGACTTGAAATTACGCTTTATCAAAGCAAAAGTTTCGACCATAAACTTACAACTTTAGTGTTGTAACAATATAAATCTTAAATTTATTCACCTCCTTATTAATATCTGATGATGATGGACTTTTTCTGATTAACCCTGGTCGGTCTCGCTTCACAGTCTCGGAATGAACAGGAGGTCGAGGCTGGGAGGGAGGTCGAGGTTGCAAGGGAGGTCGGGAATTAGTTGAAGGTCGATCTTCAACCTTGAAATTATATTCATAAACCGAGGTCAGATTTAATAAATATAGCAAGAAGTAGTTTAGCTAAGTACGAAAAGTTAAACTATTCTTCTAGCATGTCTGAATGTACACCTGAGAAATAGCTTAGCTTTATTATGCATAAGCTTCTTCTCACTATCTATCACACCTGACTACTTGTTATGTTTTAATTACTTTAGAGAAATGCCTGAAATTCTAATGGCTTACTTTTAAATGCCATACTGATTTAAATTTTCTTACTTCTTAAACTCCTTTTAATTGTATTTGGTAGTTAGATATGTAACACTTTTGTTCGGAAAATTTGAAATAATATACATTATATTATAATATACATTTTTCTTACTTCGATTTTCCTTGGCCTGCGGAATGATGATGGTTGACTCCGTTCTCTGTTCAGCAAACGCTCTGGCTGCACTCGTTCCGACGGCGGGGTTCTGTCAGGAGTTCCACGTGTTGAGCCCTATAACAAATAAAAATTACCTCACGGACAAAAGGCCAAATTAAAAGAATTTGAGCCGCGGCTCAAATATGGTTGGTTCCATTTTAAATCATGTTCAATGTTTCAAGATTTATGCTAGCGCTCAATTAAAACCGGATTTTGGCTGATTTGAGATGCGGCTTAGACACAGGCTATACATTTTTGTTAGCCAATAAAAGCCTTTTAAAAACATCAATTTGGTACCCGTCTTTGAAAAAGAAAAAAGAAAGAAAAAAGTAGAAACATCAACATCGTTTCTAAACTCTTTAATTTTCATGAAAACTAGATTAAAAAGCTTTATATTTAACAAAACAAAAATATTAAACATCGAATTTTGCATTATAAAAACAAAAAGTTTATAAACATCTTAAAAAAATATATTTCCACTTACACTTCTTGGATCACGAGAACATGAATTCTGTCTTCTTCCAATTCTTTCTTGTTGTGAGTCCTCAATTGCTTTCTTGCGTGATTCTTCAAGTGCCTTCCTGTGCGATTCTTCCAGTGCAATTTGGCGCGCTTCTTCCAGTGCGCGTTGTCTTGCTTCATCATGTGCTCGTAGAGTGAGCGCTTTCTCAACCTTATTCTTTTCCAGCTTCACCTCATCCAATTCTCTTTGTTGTTCCTAAATCATCATCATTAACATCATCAATTCAACTTGCAATTTTAAAAACGTATTATCAATTAAAAGTTGTCTTCATTGTATTGATATAAACGCCAACCACAATAGATATTTTTAATGTTTTCTAGCAAAATACATTAATGAACTATCGCAGGGGAGATGAACCCCCTCCCACCTTCCTACCTTCAGTCATCAACATCTAGTGGTCATCTTTCATGCGACATTAATCTTTCACCTTTATTTTGGCGAGAAGTTCCTGTTCACGTTTTCTCATTTCAAACTGCATTCTTCTTCTTTCTTCTTCCCTTTCTCTGCAAGTAAGACTACATTTTAGTTCTGTCCAATATTTGTTGATTGATTTATTATTACCTTTCTACAGTTTTAGCTCTAGATCTTGAAGAATATATGTCACTATCTGACCCTTCTTCATCAGACCTTAGATATACATTTATGATGATTATACTGAGTATACTTATAATAATGATAATGATATTGATAACGATAACAATAACAATAACAATAACAATAACAATAACAATACCAATTACAATAATAATAAAAATAACAATAGCAATAATAATATATGATGATGATGATGATGATGATGATGATGATGATGATGATGATGATGATGATGATGATGATCACCTTGTTGGAGAAAGACTAGGACTTCTATATTCTTTTCTAACCGGAGATTTCTGTTTCTTGTAAGTTCGATAGTTTAGATTCTCAAAACTATATAAAAGAAGACAATTGTTAAACAAATATTTTATTTTATTTATTTATTTTCGCATCTATTTTATTTTTTTTTCGGATTAGTAGACTCTTTATTTTTATAGTGTGGCATGTTCGATTAACACAGTACCTAAAGATGCATCCATGATTCATTCTTAATCTTTAACATTGATTATTTCCGATTGATTAAAGTTTAGGACTTCAAAGATTCATACACAAGAGGGGACACTTGAATATCACTTGTAATTACAAGGAGAATCCCATGAAAAAATTACCTGAATGAATTTTTTCTTTCATATGTTTTTGATGGAGAGCTCTGAACGGATTCAGATTTTCGAACTGTTACTGGTCCGTCCGACCTAGAAAACCCCGGTTATTTTCTATTTTATGTGCCTTGGAACTCTATGTATTTCATCTACTTTATGTTTTCTTTGAACCTGTCGGAACTATGGGAAGAGTAAGCAGAATCATGATAAGACTGGGTCATAGGGGAACTTCCTCTGTACTTCCTGAAAACAAGGAAACTTGTTAAAATATGCATTAACCCCTTCCTTTGCTTAGATTAAATTCTAAAATGCACAAATTGTGAGGTAAATATATATATTTATTTCGAAATAGTCATTTTAGTTGGACACATTTAACTTTATAATTTTGTAAGTGTGACACCCTGTACATTATATTTTTTTTTCATGGGACATCCTATACATTATATTTGTTTCTAGGGACACCCTGTACATTATATTTGATTTTTCGGATACCCTGTACATAATATTTGTTTAATGGGACACCCTGTAAATTATATTTGCTTTGTGGGATACCCTTGTTACACTATGTTTGTTTAGTGGAACACCCTGTACATTATATTTGATTATATATACACCTATATAAATACTTTGCTTGTCTGTCTGTTTGTTTGTTTTTATCCAATAAACGCCAAAGCGGCTGAACTGATCGGGCCCAAATTTTTTGTTGAACCTTATGTGACCCCAGGGAAGGTTAATGGATGCTCGAATTTTCAAAAATTTGCCTCTAACAAAATTCGATTTTTGAAAATTTAAAAATCCACGATATTTTTTTTAAAATCGGCGATTTTTTTGTATGTTTTTGTTTTACAATGTTTTCAAAGAGAACATGTTCACACATCAAATAGAAGATTTGCGCGTAGCGCCCTACATGCCTAGAGTATATATATTTTATTATATATTTAACACCCGATTTTCTTCTAAGCTAGTTTTAGAATTTTTCAACCCTGCATCATAGAAATAAAAATTCTAATAATTTTTTAATATTTTATTTTAAATAGGGAATATTTTTAATATTCCCCAGTATGCAGGGTAAAATTCCCCTTCTCAGGTTAACTTAAATTTTCCTTAGTTTCCCCAATAAAGTTTAGAAATAAATTCTATTCTTAAAACTTCAAAAGTTTATCAGTAAATTGTTGAAGGGATTTTAAATATTCAATTTTAGAATTTAAAGCAACTTTAAATTGAAAATTCAATCAGTTGTGTTTAAATGGAAATCAAGTTATTTTTTTTAGTTATTTCAAAGTTTCCCTTTTTTACATTTTAAAATTTACGTAATGAAAAAAGTTAGCTTATATCTAATATCTTATATCTAATAAAATGTGGAAAAGTGTGCATTAAGAGATCAAGGGTTCAAGATTAAGATTACTTCATACAAAATTTCAGACCTCAGTTTGTTTTAAATAAACCTTATTGTTTTTTATTTTTCAGAAAACTTGAAGGATTATTATTTCATCTTTGTTCATGGGCTCAGTATCAGCAGCTGAGATATTGAATTTAGAAACACATAATTAGCTAACTTCCTTGCACAAACCAGAAATATCAGACAGAAATAAAAGAAGAAGAGATTAGCAGAATTATGAACCAATGAATAGACAAGAAGAATTTCTAATACCAAATATTTTAAAAATATCAAAAATAAATATTCGGGTGCGTTTTCCCAACTGGGGTTTTCGGGGTCCTGGGATTCCACTCCTACCTTCCCATGAGGGAGGGTCCGGTCCCATGGCCCAAAGAATCCCAAAGTGAGAAAAATTGGAATACTGTAAATAATACTATATAAAATACTGTAAATAATACTATATAAAATACTGTAAATAATACTATATAAAATAATTTTGTACAATTTTGAAATTATCTTTTTTTAAACCTTTTCTAAAAAAAAGAAAATTGTTCAAAAACCTTTTTGTTTTTTATTATCTATTTTTTCAGAAAATGATTTATTATAAGAACACAAAATATTTAAATCTAAAATGTAACCATCTTGGAACTAGTTTTAATCATTCTTAACAGATTTAATGTTCGCTTTAAAAATGTTCTTTTTGTACTGTATTGTATGACCTGTAGGTAGGTGGGAGAGGTCTCGTGTAATCTCTTGTTGTGGTTTTTATTTCTCTCCGTGACGTCACTGGGGATTCATCAGGAGAAAGGATGTATTGATTTGACCTGAAACCAAATGTTTCATAAAATTACAAATAAAAATTGTCCTGTGACAAAAGATTTACATGAATGTTTTTTTTTTTTTTTAATAACCATCTATATATAAATTTGGCTTGTCTGTCTGTTTGTTTGTTTGTTTGTATCCAATAAACGTCAAAACCACCTAACCGATCGGGCCCAAATTTATTGTGGGACATCACGTGACCCCAGGGAAGGTTTATGAATGATCAAAATTTCAAATATTTGTCTCCATCAAAATTCGATCTTCATTAAATTTTTGAAAATTTTGAAAATCCACGAAATTTTTTGTGAAAATCCGCGAATTATTTTTGTTTTGTTTTACGATGTACACAAAGAGAACATGTTCACATTAATTTAGAAGATGGGCGCGAAGCGCCCTATAATGCTAGTAAAATATAAATTTGGCTTGTCTGTTTTTTTGTTTGTATCCAATCAACATCAAAACGGCTGAACCGATCAGGCCCAATTTTTTTGTGGGACATCACGTGACCACAGGGAAGGTTTATGAATGATAAACATTGTGTTTTAAAGGTTTTTAATTTTGAAAAAAAATAAATTCTTGAAAATCAGCGATTTTTTTTTAAAAATCCGCAAAATTTCTTTCTTCTTTGTTTTATAATGTAAACAAAAGAACATGTTCACAATTTAAATAGAAGATGGGCGCGAAGCGCCCTAAAAGCCTAGTAACCATAAAAAGCAATTCAATGCAGCTTCTTTCTTTTAAGGTGGTAGAAACAGAAATCCACGAATTATTCTGAAGATAAGTTAGTACTTAAAATAGTTTTATCATCACCAAAGAACAGAGAAAGATTCTGAAAAAAACAAGAAAGATTCTGAAAAAAAACAAGAAACCTTCTTTTTGAAAAATGTTTTTAAATTTATTTTTTATAATTTATGTAAAATAAAATGATACAAGGCATAGTTTTAAATGTTTATCTTTTTTTCTCCTTTCTCCATCTGCGTGTCCGAAGTTTTTCTTTTTCTTGCCTCCTTTGTCCGTCTGTTTGAAAGAATTTTTGCGAGTCGCTGTCTTTGCGCTATTATAAGACAGTGCACGATCACCCTTTCATTGTATAGATGTCTGTTTATGTTTTGTTTTGCTTAATTGTAATTGCAGCCTCAGCGCTGAACATTCTGTCTACTTGCTGTGCCAGGTCACCACTCTGCACTTCAATTTAGTTTTTTATTTGCAGCGAGGGAGCAATTCTTCCATGCTATGAACCGCACATTTTTACTTTCCTTTACAAGGAGGGTTGCTATTAACAACGAAGGATAATCAAGTGACCCGCTCAGAGGTAATTTGTTGTAGGATCCAACAGAGAAATGTCCCCGAGTCTCATTTCGTTGCTTGTGAGAAGGATTGATGTTAGGAAGGGAAGAGTGGAGATGAGGATAAGGGTTTGTAAGACGCGCGTATATAGGAATGTTTCGTTACAATCACTCCATTTGTCCACATGATATACTGTTTCGCAGTCCAGCAACATGAAACCCTTCAGATTTTTGTCCTTGCCCTTCCTGGTACTGTTTTGCAGGGTCATCCACAAAGGATGATACTTTCAAAATTTAGAAGGATAAACAAGTTTAAAAGTGATTAAGCAATTAAAAAAAAATCATGTACACTGTTGGAAATGACATATTCAAAATTAGAATTTATGTATGTTCCAGTTCTGACTAAACCTCTAGTAGTTACTTTATAGGGAATTTATAGGATCCATCAGAGTTCAGGTAGATTTAAAATTCGATGTTGATGGTGATGGAACAATCTTTGTAGAGTAAAAAAAGTAGATGTTAGTTCATTTTATTGAAAATATATTTCGGTCTGGGTTGACTCTCGTTAGTTCTTGAGATTGTTTCTGTCATGAAGATTAAATGACCAGTATAGAAAACACCTTCCTTGATATATCGGTTGACTTATAAAATTTATCTGTCAGTACAATTTTACTTGAATTATCCAAAATAATAATAATCCAAAATAATTTAAGTGAAATTAGAATCAAGTAGAGTTTTTTTTATATAAAAACAGTTCAAGCAAAAATGTGATTAATGTCAGCAGAGTACGTAAGTCATTTAAGAAACCCTAGCGGAGGATAGACAGTTCCAAATTTCACCACAAGAGTTCTCTGCACGTTTTATTCAAAATTCAAATCAATAAAAAAGTATAAGATGTTGTGTAACGTGTACATTATAAAATCAAATTAATAGTGATGAATATACATATGTGGTCAGTAATCAATAAAAAAATATTTTCAGTATAACTAAATACTTTAATAAAAGTTCATAAGTAGAAACTGACGTCGTTCAATATACACTCATCCTCTTCTGTAATTAAATATAAATTTAACATCAGAGCCCAAAACCAGTTTTAAAACCCGGGTTTCATTAATGGGGTTAGTGTATATCAATATTTTTGTTATGCAATAATATTTCATTTAGTTTCTTCATATTCTACTTTTTGTTGAATCTCTTTAATCAAAATCTACAAAATCCCCAAAAAGGGAACTTGAGAGTTTCTTTCATCGATACTCTTTTAAATTTTGGGCTCATGGGAGTAAACTGTACACTGATTTACTACAGAATCTAAGTACGTTTCTAAATGCATTTTTTTCCATCCCTCCCACCATTTGTACATATATTACCATTTGACGAAATTGAAATTCTGATTCAATTAAGAAAAAAATAAAGTAAATGATTAGAAATTTGCCTAAATTAAGCAGAAACCGACAGATTTCGGAAATTAAAAATGAATGCGGAGTGAACCAATGTCAGTTTGATAAACATCAAATAAGTAATTGATATCTGTTAGAATCTGATTGAAGAGAGTTTAATTCTACTTGCCATTTACTCCAATTAGTAATCAAATTGAAATAAGTGCCGATTAATGACGCAAATGCTGATCGCTGTAGTTAATGTAAGCAGGTTTCTGCTTGCTCCGATTTTCGTTAATGAATGTAAGTAGTATTCAGTTGAATGTAACTAGAATTTAGTTAACAGCAGCCGAACTTACATCTAGCAGTATAATCTTTAATATATTACAACGGATGCATGAAATAAATAATTTAGATTGTAAGCGTAATTTCCATAAGTGTATATGCATTTCTAGATATCATCTCAAGGGACCCTCCATTGTAGAGAGCTGTGTCCGATTCACAACAGCGTGCCCTTTAAAAATTTGAATTATCCTCATTTTGCTACAGAAATGTTGATATTGCAAGCTGTTATCTATTCCAAGAAAAATTAATATTCACTGCCTAGAAGTCGCAGTCCGTGTGTTATTTAAAGTACCTGGCCGACGTTTAATCAGCTGTACAGTGTACATACATAGACTACATATATGGCAAAACGGGACAGTTCACCAAATGAATCAGCCCCTTATAGGGAGATTATAATGGCTGTCGATAATCAGATAAAGGTTTTAAGGGTACCGTTGTAAATAGTGCATTCGTCTCTTTGCTTAAAAGGTCACTTGAACTTACGATTAGTGCTTACATTCCCTTAATTTAAATTAAAACATGAATTTAAAATTTAAGTCATTCTGATACCCATGTCAGGCTAATGAACTTTCTTAAATCATATGGTTAAAAAATCTAGTTTTATTTATCTTTGTATTTATCTATTAGTTCCTTATACTTCCTTGTTAAAACAGGGGAAAAGCAATTGAATTTAAAGATGTAAAATAAATAAAATGGTTTTTCACAGTTTAAACAGGAGTGGCCGTTATAGTCTTCTTCGTAAATATAACATTTTTGTTCGTGAAAGATTAACTCATTTTTTGCTAATTATTGATTAAGTTTGTCTATAACTTTGAAACGTCTCATTGCTGGAATTTCTCTTTTCGTTTCTTAAAGAACAGTCAATTGTTTTAAAACATTAAAAATCATTTGTTGACGTATGCGACGCCCAGACCTAAATTTAACCAATTCTAACCAAGTTTAATCAATAAAAGCAATTCAACTAAAACCTTAATGTTTACCACCAGCATCCTGTATTTATTGTGTACAGTTTAATTAGAAACAGAACAGACGGACTTAATAATATAAACATTACATATCTACACTGTAAAGTTTACATATAAATACCTACCTATCTTCCTACCTAGCTCGCTACAACATTCCAACCTATCTACGTATGTACCTATCTACCAATCTATTACCTACCTATCTACCTACCTATCTACCTACCTAGCTCGCTACAACATTCCAACCTATCTACGTATGTACCTATCTACCAATCTTTTACCTACCTATCTTTCAATCTACATAAAACCTACCTACCTTCCTTACTACACTACCCACCACCCACCTACCTAGATTTACTGAACCCTATGCCACTATGTGGCCTGGAACTGGTAAACGACTCCTCACTACTACTCCCAATACAGTTCTGGGACTGGGTCCGAACCATATTGTACTTTGAGTACTTATTCTAAATAGAAAATGATTATTTACTTGTTGTTAATAACAATAATTTTACGCATAAGGATGAAAAAAAACAAATTTATCTGCTTACATAATCAAACTTCAAACCAGTTTTCAATGAGAGGAGTTATGATTGAGAACATATACGATTTTTTTAGTTTGGCATTTGACGTGAGAATATATTTTTTTAGTATGGAAAACAAAATAATTTTGAATGAACACCGCGTAAATCAAAGACGAATTTCAACTTTTTTTCAAGATAACCTGGTTTACGCTCCTATCTAGGCTAACCCCTCGGACTGAGTTCGACTGAAATAAATATATTTTAGTTTCCTTAAAAATATTTTATAATCCAGATTCCTTCCAGAAATGAATATTCAATAAGGTCAAATCTTTTCCATTTTGTTAACAATTCAGAAATCACTGATCCTTCAATGTTTTGTGGACTAAAAACGGAATAAATTCCTTCTGAATTCCGCTACATTAATAGTTTCCATTGAAGATGTTAAGTTTAGGCGCTAGCTAGATCTCCGTTTCTCACAAAAGTTATGACTTAAGTTCAGACAGTGGCTGCACCAAATAAAGTGGAATTAATTATTTACCATTTAGTTTTATTTAAAATCATATTAAATGATGTAATTAAATATCTATTTTCAACGTTAAAAAGAGTTTCATTTTCTTGAATTAGACGAAATGATACTCGATCGAAGTAGCACTTGGTCTAATCCGTGCGAGGTCATAAAACCGGTTTATGCAGTACAAGGATATAAATAAATATTCATGTTCTAATCCTAAATTAGGTTTGTAACGAGTACTCCAATCAGAAGATCATTGTTGATGTACTCCTCGTAGCTGGTCTTAATGATATTCTCTACCTTGATATTCTCCATGAGATATAATATATATATAATTCTTCATGGAGATATAATAGAAGAAATGAGGAGATTCAACTGGATGATACAACTAGATGATAATTAGTTGTTCTAAACTACACTTCAAAACTCCACTTAAACTTGACTCTAACTCCACTTTTGAACTCCAGTCACCAACTAGATGAAATCTGGGTGAAAAACTCGACTTAAACTCGACTTTTGGAATCCCAGTTTTTACCAAGTCAGGGTGAAAACTTGGATTTCAAAACTCCACTTCTAAACTCCACTTAAACTTGTCTTTAGCTCCACTTTTGAACTCCAGTCACCAACTGGGTGAATCTGGGTGCATAAACTCGACTTAAACTGGACTTTTTAAATCCCAGTTTTTACAAAGTCACAAGCTCGGTGAAATCCTGATGAATAAACTCGACTTAAACTCGACCTTTTGAATCCCAAATTTTACCAAGTCAGGGTGAAAACTTGGATTTCAAAACTCCACTTAAACTTGACTTTAGCTCCACTTTTGAACTCCAGTCACTAGCTGGGTAAAATCTGGGTGCATAAACTTGACTTAAACTTGACTTTTTGAATCTTAGTTTTTACCAAGTCACAAGCTGGGTGAAATCTTGGTGAGAAAACTAGACTTAACCTCGACTTTTTGAATCCCAGTTTTTACCAAGTCAGGGTGAAAACTTGGATTTCAAAACTCCACTTAAACAAGACTTTAACTCCACTTTTGAACTCCAGTCACCAACTGTGTTAAATCTGGGTGCATACACTTTATCTAAAGTCCACTTTTTGAATCCCAGTTTTTACCAAGTCACCACCCGAGTAGAATCTTAGAGTCGGGAACCTAGTCTTAGGCGCCGGGCCGACTTTCTCCGACCCTCTGTTTTTGGAAAAAAATATCAAATTTCACCAAATATATGTAATATGAGCAAAAACCATTAAAATATTTGAGCATTCCTCTCCCCATCCCTTTCTTCAAG